GTAATTTGAAATAAAATAATGTAATCAGGCTTTTAAAAGTAACAGCTCTGCCCAGTTCTGTTATTTCAAGTTCATGTCAATTATCGCCTATACAGGTCCTCCTGATTTAAGACAGTAATCAGACAATCCCTACGGTACAGATAGAGGCCATTCGGCCCATTGAGTTTGCACCAACCCTCCGAAGAGCATCCCGCTCTAGCCCTGTTACCCTACATTTGCCATAGTTAACCCACCTAGCCTGCACATCCCTGGGCACCATGGGACATGTTTTTTGAGCGTGGCCAATCCACCTAACCTCCACATCTTTGGACTGTGGGAGGAAACCGGAGCACCTGGAGGAAACCCATGCAGAAACGAGGGAGAATGTGCAAACTCCATGCAGACTGTCGCCTGAGGTTAGAAACGAACCCAGGTCCCTGGTGCTGTAACAACCTCTGTGCCACCCTATCCATTACTGTAATGGTAAAATACAGGGCACCATCTGACCTGAATTTATTGTTAGCTGGGAGAATTGCAGAAATATAAAGAAATTTGAAACCAAATCAATGCATTAAATATGTTAGCCTTCCGTCTCATAAGATAATGATTTGTGTTGTAGTGGTCAACATTGTGTTAAGCATCACCTGGTATAGATCAGGAGCCCCACAATGGCTTGGCAGTCTCTGCCAAATTTGCTGTAGAGAAATACTTTGGCTCGGCTGATATCCGTTCTGGCCTATTGTTCAAGACCCACTCTAGGACTTATTTGCCACAGCCCTTGCATTCAATCTGATCAAATGCAATACAGCCATAACACTTCAGCCATGCATAGCAACCAAATTGTACAAAAGAGTTGGATTCTCATTGAAGAAACAGACATGTGCCACAGGGAGCACTATATCTGAGCAAGCTGGAGCTTTGAACTACACCATCTGTTCTGAATTAACAGTTGCTCTTCATTTTAAAACATTACTGTGAAACATCATTGTAGATTTTACAGTTGATCTAAATCTCAATGGAATTCACATCATTTAATTATTCATTTTGCTTTTAGAGATTTGAAACACTGACTCTCCTATGTTACTGTAATTTTGGCTAGCACAGTGCACCATATATCTATTTAAGGAAAATGCATAATTAATTGTTCATTTATAATGTAAGATGGATTGGGGCACAAGTTTAGGGATAAGATAGTGGAAAGTTTCCTGACACATTACTGTTCTGCATTCATAGCACTCACCTTTGGTTCAGACACAAGAATGCTGTGCATGGGAACAAGAGCCTCATTTAAAACAAAAGGTTTTGCGTCCCAATGATATCACCAGCCAGTTTCATGGCAAAATGAATATTTGTAAACTTTTAAACAGTTTGAAATGCCCTTACAACTCAAGCTTAATTCAAAAATCATTTTCAAAGTCTGTAAATGTGCTCATTTAGTGGAAACTCATTACTGTAATTTCTTTGATCTGAAGACATAACCAACTTGTGTGAGATCAACTTCCAGCACAACATTTTCAATCTTCTGTTAAAGATTTCCAAAACTCAATTTATGCTTGTTCTACTTTGAGTTTAAAATTTGACTATCTTTTGCATTGATTTGGATGACTTTAGTCAGATCATGCTGATACAAGTGACACAAACTATTGACAAATCTAAGGCAGAATGTTTCGGCTGTTTGAAGTGCTGACTTAAAGAGCGGACAGTCTGCTCTAGGCTGTTGACTACATGCTTGTAAATTGTCTGTGCACCATCAGAATGTCAGACCAGATGTATCATCCAATATCCCTTGAATCTAGAAAATCTAAAGACAATAGACAGCTGTCTTTCTCAGAATTACATTAGGTCAGCAACCATTCACAGGGTATCAACCAGATTGATTGACTACCCAAGAACAATTGTCACTTCCAGCAAAGTGAAGGAAATTCAATAGTCTGGCTGTAGTCTGCTCACAATATCAAAGGTTAGCAAATCGAATGGAAATAATACTTAGGCAGCAAGGTTCACAAATGTTCTGATTAGGGACAATCAATTTGTAGTAACCCTTTTGTCTTTTAGTCCATAAAATAAATTCTGTCTAATTTGCTGAATAAAGCTAGCGCTGGTTGACCTTAATATTATGAGACCATAACTCATAACACTTCAATGCTGTTATTAAAAATAAAGATTATAAATAAAAAAGTTTGGTATAACCAGAAATACATTTTAATACATTTTTCTCATATCAATAGTAAGTTGAAACAAATTGTAGCTCATCCAGGATTTGACATTTGTTGGACACTCAGCACTGCATAGGTCATGAATTCAAAAATGTAAGTGAAGATAACCTTGGAGATTTATTTTGTTTTTATTTGTGGGATGTGGATGTTGCTGGCTAGGCCAGCATTCATTGTTCTTCCCTAGTTGCGCTTCAGAGGATTGTAGGGAGTTGCTTCTTTTAACTGTTACATTCCTTAGGGTGTAGACAAATCCATGGTGCTGTTAGGAAGAGAGTTCTGGGATTTTGATCCAGCAACAGTGAAGGAACAATGATATAGTTCCAAGTCATAATGTATGTCACTTGGAGGGAATTTGCACAAGTTCCTATGCATCTGCTGCCCTTGACCTTCAAGGTGGGAGATGTTGTGGGTTGGGATGGTGCTGCTGAAGAGACCTGAATGAATTACAGCAGTGCATCTTGTAGATAGTAAACACTGCTGCTATTGCATATTGATGGTTATGGATCTGAATGTTGAAGGCGGTCGATGGAATGCAGATCAAGGGGATTACTTTGTCATAATAATATCAATTTTCTGGAATGTTGTTGCACCTGCACTAATCCAAGCCAGTGAAGAATATTCTATCGCACTGACAACTTGTGCCTGATAGATAATGAAGAGGCATTTGGGTAGCCAAGGGGTTTATTAATTGCTGCAGAATGCTGGTCTGCACTTGTAGCCATAGTCCAGTTCAGTTTCTGGTCAATGGTAAACCACAGGAGGCGGGTGATTTAGTGATGGCAGTGCCATTGAAAGTCAAGGGGTGACAGCCAGATTCCCACTTTATGGAGATGGTCTATGCCTGACAATTGTGTGGTGTAAAGTTACTTGCCACATATGGCCCCAAGCCTGTATATTGTCCAAGTCTTGCTGCATATGGACAGAGATGTATTTGTTTTTATGATGGAGGGCCTTGAAGAAGTTAGGTTTTTGGCAAGGTCTGTAGGGAAGGCTGTGTCTAGGGGCTGGACTTTAAGTGAACCTGTAAGGACACATTAATGGAGATAAAATCTGTCAGGTGCTGAGCCTAACACCATCCTGCCCATCACAGCTGATCCACATTTTGAAGGAAATGGGTGGGCACTGAACTCAATAGTCATCCCATCATATTTAAATAAATAAGTAAGGGTCAATTAAATTTGTTAAAATGCATATGACTCCAATGTTACAGTGCCCATTCATCACATGGGTCACGTTGGCATGTGAATGGAAGTGGGTGGTGAATTTCTTTGGAAGTTCTTGAAAGAATGAGAAAGAAATACGGTGCAATCTTCTGGAATTACCTTTGCATATTAGGGGCACATTATAAGATTTCTAAGAAGACAGTATTCCCATTTTCCCTCCTCCCTGTATGCACTTTGAAAATCACCCATCCAACTCCCTTCCTAAAAAGATAACACCCTCCCACCCAACATCCAGATTACCTTGCTCTGGGACCTATTGGTGCCTTTATCATGGAACTGCTTACTATAAGGCTGTTGCTACTGCTAAACTCTTGGCTGTACAGTGTTACTGGAGCTGCCAGACAATCGGATTCATCAGTGACTCTAGACAGTGGGACTTCCTCCCATTGAAGAACAGAAATTCCACTCTCAACCAATTTAGCAGCTCCATCCCCACACCTCCACAGCCCCAAGAGTACAATGGCTATGGGCAGGCTTCTTGTTAGTTTGTTGGCTGGTTGCTGACTTTTCCTCTAATGGAGTGAATACTGTGCACTCGCTGCAGGTAAAATTCTGTCCTAGGTGCTGGTAAGATGCTGTATAGGATCACCTCTCTTCAGAGTCTGCTATCACATGCTGCCTGACATCATTGCTGATATGTTAGCTGTTTAGATATTCAGATATACTCTTCTTCATAGTCTTAATTTGAAACATTTTTTTGCAGTCTCCTCCTTCTCCCACCAAATTCTCTGTCTGCATTTATCTCTGCCATAGAGAATTAAGTGCTGTGGTGATTCCAACAATATCATTGATCCTGTTCCAGCTTTCTCAGAGGAAGTTGAAGATTTCTATTCTCTAAGAATTGAAGTTAGCATAGAAAGTCAGTTGTTTACAGAGGCATAGAGTCATACAGCATGGAAACAGACCCTTCAGCCCAACACACCCATACTGACCAGGTTTCCTAAACTGGACTAATCTCATTTGCCGGCGTTCGGCCCCTATCCCTCTAAATCTTTCCTATCCATGTATCTGTCCAAAAGTCTTTTAAATATTGTAATTGTACTCACCTCTACCACTTCCTCTGGCAACTTGTTCCGCACACAAACGGCCTTCTGTGTAAAAAAGTTGCCCCTCAGGTCCCTTTTAAATATTTCCCCTCTCACTTTAAACGTCTGGCCTTTAGATTTGGACTCCACTACACTGGTGAAAAGACTTTAGCTATTCACCTTATCTCTGGCCCTCATGATTTTACAAACCTCGATAAAGTCACCCCTCAGCCTCCTAAACTCCAGGGAAAAAAAGGTCCCAGTCTATCCAGCATCTCCTAATAACTCAAATTCTCTAGCCTCGGTAACTTCCTTGTAAATCTTTTTTGCATCCTTTCCAGTTTAATAATATCCTTCCTAGAGCAGGGGGGCCAGAATTGTGTGCAGTACTCCAAATACTCCTTACAAATGTCCTGCACAGTTGCAACATGACGTCCCAACTACTGTACTCAATAGTTTTGGGTCATAGAGTGTATCCAAGTGGCCCTTTTCAGATTCAGTCAAATATAGTTCAGAGAAGGCTTGACAACAGCAATTTACTGAAACATGAACATCTATTGAGTAATAATAAAAGACAAAAAAGAAAGTATCATTTATTAAGTTAATAAAAAGAATGGAAAAGAGGGGAAAAGAAATGAACTTCACGCCCTTCTGTCCGTTAGGAACCCCTTGATTGACAGCTGGTCTGGAAGTTGAGCTTCTTCCTGGCACCGTACGCGATCCTGGTCCGAGGTGAAGACCCACAATGTGGAATGAAACTTTCTCTCTTATACAGTGTTACAAATAGCCAGGCACAGAAGACAAGCTGAGAAAGTACAGAAAAGCAACTTTGATTTTGTTGTCCTTGGCACGTACAGGAACATTCACAGGACTCATTCAAGGCTATGCTGCTGTCAAATATCATCAACAAGTTTAGCCCTTCAGCCCATCCTATACAATCCACCCCTGATGATATTTGACAACACATGTTACATTTGCAGATGCATATGCAAATCAGCGACAGTCGCACGAGCATGTATAATAAGAATATGTAACCTACACAACAAGATTAAAACTTTAATGAAAATAACAATCATCAATGCAAACAATACAACAATAGGGTGTATCATCAAATTAATGATCACAGTGGCCTTTGGGCACCAACCCTTAAATATATATCCGACCTTTAATGTAAAGTCAAGGCCGTGATGGAGCCTGCAAGTCGTGCCACCTGACTGAGGCAACCAGAATATCATCTACATTTTTTTTCTGGTTAATCTATGTACATAATTTGCTCTAAAATTCAGTATATTCCAGATTCAGGTTCCTTAATTTGTGTTTTTTTTTAACCCTGCAGTTCCCTATCCACAGATCACCTCACCAATAACAGTACAATAACATCATACATGGACTCAAAAATTCTCCAGCTCTCTTTGTCTGTATCCGTCTTGGGGATACTTCTTCGGTATGTTTCCTTCCTTGCTAATTTCATGAATGATTGTATCATTGAGTGGTAACTACCTGCATATGCAAGTACCACCTTTGAGTTACAACACACCTTGGATCAATCAATACAGTTCGAATGTTCATCAGGCTTTTCCTTCAACTCATATTTCTCGCCTTTTATTTTATCCTGGGGTTCCCTCACAACAGACTCCTACATCACCTAAATCTTAGCTCAGCCTTCTTTCACATACACTAACTGTCCTAATGCATTACAATTTCACCTACTGGTTTAATCATACAAGTGCTCAAGATAGGGTATCTGTATGTCATCCTTTTGGCCCTTTCACTCAGTCTACCATTACTTCTCCCAGAATCAATTTTCTTTCATTTCTGCAACATTTTGACATAATAACCAATCACACCTTTTTTATTTTGGTCATAATTCTTTTTAAATCCCTTTCACTTAATACTATTTTCATTGCTTTAAAGTCAGTTTCACTATGGATTTTGTGTCAGTGTCTTATTGGTTAAACTATGTTTTGTGCTTTCCAAGTGACTAATCCTTTTGTCAAGGAGGTATACCTGTCTGAGACCCATTCTTCAGTACATGCTTTTATTCCACCTCATGTTTGTTACCTCCGAGGTAACATTCACTTTTGCGCACTTACATCGGTGTCCCAAGACAATGTCACACATTCTTGACTCCTACATGATCTTATCAAATGATCTATGAGGGTTTACTAATCTTATCAAATGACCTCTGAGATTTTACTTATCTTTCCACGTATGGTCCCAATGCCTCAGTTAGTGGCTTTATCACCAATTCAATCTTTCTTAAAAAGAAAGACAAGGACTCAAACATCATCAAAAGCAGTGATACTCTGCTGCACCTAAAGGGTACCTTGTGCCTTCCTTAATGATGGATGGATGGATGGACACCCTTGGACTGCATTTGCCCAAACTTTGACAAGCAGGTCACTAGACACGGTTGACCAGCTCCTCAAATGATGAGACGCAGTTCCCCTGACTCTTGGTGCTGGGCCTAAAAGGTAGAGTGTTGCCCACTCGCCAGAATGCAGTCAGCTAGATCCTCTGACGGTGAGTGTCCCAAGCTGATGACTGAAACTGGCTAATGGACTGTGTGTAGACTGTGTCCTTGACTAAGGTACTTGCATCCCCTTTACTAATAACAGACTCCCTCCAGTGACTGGACTGAGGACTAGACCCTAATCACTTTCAGACACGGTCATTTGGTTGGATAAACATACAGTGTATTTGCCCTGCTGGCAGCTGGGATATACTGTAGATTTTAAACTGATGTCTCAGTGTGTCATACATTAAGATGTCCCCTTAAGATGTCCCCCAGATCAGACAGATCCCCACTCCATTTCAATCCTGGTTGCTGGTACGTCCTACAACACAAGTCACTTTCTGAGTGGCCGGCAAGTGTATCGGGTAGGTGCCATGATTGTTGTGAGGGGTTGGCAAATGTTCGATGCCAATATCAGTGGACGAGGGATGTTCGCAGTTGTTGCCCGTGGATTGAGTCCTGAGATGTCGTTTGCACCTGGGCAACATAGCAAGTAGTGAGTTGAAGTCGCCAGGTTCCTGCTCTGACTTCCATGCCAAGATTTCTGGCCATCTACCTTAGTAAGATAGGAAGCTAAATATTAAGAAGGTGAGTTGGGCCACAAACAAGGTTTTTAAAAAGCTATAATCTCCCTTATAATATAAATCTCCCTTATAATCTCCCTTACTTTGCAACATGCTGCTGCCTAGCAAGAAACTCCCCTCACCTTTCAACAAAAGCATAAAGGATGAAGTGAGATGCTGTCATACTGACACAGGCCTTGCCAGATTTCTGTTTCAATTCTACCACAAATCTCATCATAGCCAAAGTCACTAAGACTCCTTTAAAACTCTGCCCTATATTTCTATTAGGCTCAAGAAAGTCTAGTATAGTTTGGATAAATACCACAAACAAGAAAATTCAGACCTTGCAGAATTAACATCAATTCTCTGGTTAAAAGTCCAGAAAAAAAAAATAACTTTACCACTTTGGTGAAGATATTTTTCTCCCTAATTTTCTTTCTTCTTGGAAATGCTGGCATGTTTTGTGATACAGTTTTATGGAGTTTAACTGCACTGTGATATCTCACCCAAGTGAACGTTCTTTATGGGTGAGCCTGGAAATTTGATCTCCACCATATGGCCTTTATTAAGTACAAAGTACACCTCCACCAGTTTAATAAACTTGAAAACCAAGAAAGCTGCTTCAGTTAGCTTACGGCTTTTAATAACAGAAAAGAAATGGATTACTAATGGTTGATGATAAATTTTATGTTTTTCATTCACTTTTAATAAATGATGTTTAAACATGTACCACATTTCAGCACAACCTCAAAGCTTAGAAAAATAAAGCACATTTGTAGGATCATGAGTTTCGTTTACAGTGCCTAAACAGTAACGAAGTGTTTTTCTACCAAGATTCATTTTGAATGTCAGTGACAGAAGGAATGTTCATTAAAATACCACAGTGCATGTTAACAACGAGTTGAACCTTTAACCAGTATCTGAGACCAATTTAAACAAAGAATGACTTCTCAAAGCAAACAAAAAGGCAGAGTAACTAAAACTCCTTCAAGAGGCAGTTGGTTAAACTCAGTAACATCTCAGAAAGCAGATTATAATTTTAAGGATTAATGTGAAGTGCTAGAAGTTGTTTCTTTGCATTACTTAAGTAACAAAATGTTAGGTGGAAAGTGAAAGGCACAATTCATAATTTTATGTCCATAATAAATGTCCAATCTATTCTTTTGCTAGATATCACACACGCCACCCCCATCCCAATTCCAATTTGCTATGTGGTTTATCCCTCAATTCAATTGAAAATACTGAGGTACAGAAGCTGGATCGAAATTTGGAAATACCTATCCCCTAGCATTATAAAAGTGTGGTCACCACTTTATTTAGTACAGTGATTCAATGAGATGGCACAATACCGTATTTCAAAGGACCACCTAAGATGGACAATGAAATGTCTGCATTGCAAGCAATAATCATAGCCTGAGAATAATTTTTAAAATAACTGACATTTTTTTAGTTTTGAAAAGTTGTAGGGACAAGCTGCAATAGTGGTGTGTTAGAATAATGCAGTGCACTGGAATACTAATATGCTGTGTCATGAATTGACCATTAATTTCACATACCTTTCATTCCACATCACAGAATTGGTCAGAAAGAAGTCAACAATCTGAAGGAGTTTAGAAATTCCAACCTAATCTTGCTTGACTATTTACTGTCATCACAAAAAGCTACTCCACTTTGAGCCGGAGTCTTCTCTTGCCCATTTCAGTATTATCCATATGTTTGTAAAGTAAAATAAAATAAAACAGTTCTGAAAAAGAGTCACTGAACTCAAAATGTTGACTTTGCTTTCTCTCCACAGATGCTGCCAGATCTGTGGAGTTACAGCAATTTCTGTTTTTGTTTATAAAATACATTGGGTTAAAATTCAACTTCTACAGTATTATGTAAGTGCATCTGAAAGGGTTCAATCTAAGTTGTGCATTAAGCACACCTAACATGATCATGTCATGTGGACTAAGGCAGGGGAAGAGCTTTGGTCACCCTCATACTCTTAGTAACAATGCCTATCATACTATGGTGATGTGTCCCTCATTGCTCTTACATAACAAGGTGCATTTTGTTTAAGACAAGAGCCCTTCTCATTTGAGTACCAGGTGTTTTTCCACTACCACACTAGACCAACCTGGCTCCATGGCTCCCTATCAGCAAAGAGGATGGTGGTGGAAATCCTACCAGATGGATCTTGTATCATGATGAGTGGTGGTGAGGATTATCTTACAACAGAGAGGGATGCAAAGTGGGCTATAAGTGGAGTGTATATGGCATGATGACAAATCCTTGATTTATTTTTATCTGCTTCTTCGAACTATCAGTAGCAGATTTCTCTTATTTCACTGGAAGATTTGCCAGTTTCATTCCCTTAAATGTCACTAAATATTTTTTTCTGGAAATGAGAGAGATGATAGGGATGGTTCACCCTTTCTGTCTGCCTCTTAACTGACCAAAGACAGTGTATTTGTTTTACAACCGTGCTTTAATCCATGAGTGCTGTGGGAACAGATGAATGACAGATGTTTTCTCATAACTTTTAAAAGAAAAGATTAGTGATTTTTCTTCAACCGGGGTATACGAACTGCGCTCACTCTCTCACTCATACTTTTACAGGAACTTTCACAAAAAAGTTACAATTATATCAGCAACAGACATTTAGGTCTTACAATTTCAACAGATCTTTGTTATTCTTCCTTTTGCCAGGGTAGAGACTTGCAACAATGGAGACCACTTATCTTTTCCTTCCTAATAAAGAAAAATCTCTCGTAATTTTAGGAAGACAGATACACTACTGATTTATGTTTATGATAGCAAAATTTCTCTTATTCCACCACAGTCAAAGTGCAATGAAGCCCTGTAGTGAAGTCACTGATACAGTTCCTTAGGTGGACAGTTCAAAGTCAATTCAAGTCTTTGCTTACATGTGGGTCAACATCATTTGTTCAAAGACAGGATGTTCTCCTCTTATTCACTTCAATTCTTCTGTCATAGTTAGATCCGACTCTTCCTTATTAAGCCCTTTATCAGAAACCTAATTTCTGTCATGTGATCGAAACATTTCCTTCTTTGCTGTCATAAATTGTTCCTTATAATTAGGCCATTGTCAGGCAATGGAGTCTGTGTATCATTAACTCACAAACCATCTTGGTAAGATTAAGCTTTGCACACCCTTTTCTGGATTTCAGGTTTGGACTTGACAAGTTTGCAACAATACCGTGAATCTAATTTTCTTAATTATTTGGAGAAATTCAGCCATTAGCTCAGATTTTCAGATTTCTGTCCAGAAATATCATTTTAATTTTAATGGCTCATCAAGACTTGTTCAAATCTGAAGATTATCTCACAGTCTTTTCAATTCCAAAAACTAAAGGTCATCAGCCCTCAACTTCACTTCTGGTCAACTTAATTTAATTTACACTTTATAAGTTTAAATATAAAAGTCATAAATTTTTATTATGTCAGTGTGACAATATACAACCATTGCATTTAGTTACAAAGTTTATGTGACAATTGAAAATCTGAAGCTTTCTTCCTTCTTTCTGCTGATAAAGTACATTATTTGCCATGATTTATGGGAATATAGATTGCTGGGCTCCTCTTGATTAATTGCTCCTCAGGACTATTTTCCTACCATCTGTGTCTCTTGATCGTATTGTCCTGTGACTGAGGCACAATGTCTGAACTCAAACCACATAGACAGAGACAATGCATAGTAACAGCCTAGCAACAGGCCAAACAATACACCACAAGACCAAACACAACAGCCTCTAGCGCCAGCTGCTGAAACCTTTTAAGTGTTTAAATTCAGCAACCTACAAAATAATTAAAAGTGGTGACTGATTCACTCATCTACTGAGTATCACATCATTTAAATTGACCTCTAATTGAAAATTGGTTTGGCACAAGATGGAAATCCAACCTATATGCAATATCTTCTTGGATGGAAAAAATCGAATGTAGGACAAGGTGCACAGAAACCTCTTTGTGCTTAAAAAACTCTGTCATCAATCAGTGAATTATTCTGTGTTCACTTCCAAATCTGTGTTAGAGTTAAGTATTTTAACTTCATTGTTGGTAGTTTTTTGTGCCCTGAATCCAACTGTTAATGATTACATCATCTTTTGATCAGACAACATTTGCCTTCTACCTGACAGATCTTAAATTTCCCAGTACTGAGTGGTTAGGAGTACGAATAAATTTATCAAGAGAAGATATGAGAAAGGCATTTTTACTCTGTGGTCAAGAATTATTAATTGTATTGTGATGTACTAATTGGATTGGAAATAGAATAGAATCAAATACATTCTAAATAAAATGTTCTCAATTAATCAGTCACTAGTCTCCAATGTCAATAAAAGTTTCAATCATCAAAACTGCTGGGTAAGAAATTGGTCCTGTGTGAAATGGCAACAAATTTTCGGCCACACTCTCTTCTTTCCACTAAAGTTCACAGAATCAATTTCAGACTATTTCTGTCTCGCTGTTACTCTCTTTCAAAACTACTAACTTCCAGACCAACGCCATTTTGAATTTTGCTCGATCTCAGGTTGGGCACTTTGGGCTGTGATTGGTTTGGGCCAGTTTAGTTCAGGTGGGAACAAGGGTCACTTGGAGCATGGAGCATGGACATAGGTCAAATCAGATAGCAATCCCACCACCATGCAGTGCTGAGGTGAGCAGTCTGGTAAGTTCATTTTAATTAAGTACATTAAAAATAAATGATTCATGGCACATTCTAAAAAGTTTAGATTTTAGGACAACTTCAGTTTTTAGTTGATTTTAGGACAGTGTACCAGTATTCCTAGTGTTTTAAGGGATGATTACTTAACGCAACATTTCTTTACGAAATCTACTAAACATAATTGAGCTAGAAATTGAGTGGGTTATTTCTGGGGTGATTTTCTAAAACACGAACTTACCAGCTCATTTCATACATCTCAAGGCACATAACTGTTTTGTAGTCCAATTATGAAATATAAAAATAGAGAAAGCATTAAATTCCAATCAAGACATTGGCAATTCTCATTTAGTTCTGTCATAGATAAAGTAAAACTTTGAAACTACTACAGCTATCTAAATTATTTGCTCATCTAAATGAGGCATAGAGTTTACCCTACTGGATACTACAGGGAAAAATGTTTTTTGACTGATTGGGCTACTCCTGGAAGAAAATCTGACGGCAAGCTGACTGACCTCAAACAAGCCCGCCCCGTAGCCATGGGACACTGTGAGGACCTTTCAGTGGCAGGAAGTCCCACTTTCTAATCTGATTGGCCAGCAGGTTCAACGGAGGGTCTGCAGCATTTGATCTCTGTAGTTATTGTGCAAGGACTTTGGGACACTGGAGGAACCTTGCAATGATGTCACAGGACTGCACATCACTGGTTTTAGTGCAGATGGAGTTACAACAGACAGGAAAAGCTCCAGATGACTATGGACCTCTAACCCAATGAGACCACAACATGGTTAATGAACAAATAGAAACATAGTATAGTCCTTATCTAACGTAACTATAAATCAGAGCC